CAGGGGTGGCAAACCCATGGTCAGTAACATTAAATATTGCATCCCCTAGATGGCTTACTTTTAACAAATAAATTTATTTGCTCTCCATTCTATTTACAAAGAAATGGATTTTAAAAAGTAAGAGAACAGATACAAAAATATCACATTCATATATAATGCCATGCATCTGGGGGAAGGGGGCACAAATTTGTGACGATGTATTGTTAAGTTGTCTATCATTGTGTGACAATTTTGTGATGGAGGGGGGAGTCCCAATTTGGCCAAAATAGCGTGACATCCTTTATGGATGGCCCCCAAGTGGTTTGAGTGTACACATGATTATCATTTTACAATGATCAATTAAGTACAGGGTAAAACAATACAGAGCCCTGAAGCCTATCACTACTTAAAGTATAATCATAAGAATAGGCAATAATTGTCACAATTTTTTGAAGTAATTGAAGTATATAAGTATAAGCCTATAAAGCACATTGATCATCACTAGTTTAAATTTGCTTTGAATTAAATGGCATAGGTCTATGACTATACTATTCACTACAATTAAAATTATATTTTGAACAGGCATTGCACACATAATAACTACTAAATAGTAATAATAGATCTCCAATTAGTCCTATACTATACAGTAGTATACATTACAACATTTAGTAGCCTTACTGCCTATTTACTGAATTTACTCATGAGTAATTATGAATGTATTTCCTTTTACCCTTTTACAAAAAAATTTAGACTGCTCCAGATCAGGGCCTAAGTCCTAGGGCGATACTGCCACTACTACTACTAAAAAGACTAGACTACTTCTAATAAGCTCAACCATTAAAGATTAAACTTTTTTTAAAACACCGCAACGCCGATACTGACATATATTGATACACAGAAATTAAAATCGTATCAGTATCACTATAATTATAAAACTATTTTCACTTCAGTTTCAGAGTAGTCAGTAGCAGACGACCGTAACTTGGATCAGTTAACTGTTAACTTGTTGAGGCTGTGCAGTTGGTTGTGTGGCTCACGAGAAAAGTTTAAATTGCAACATCCAAATCTTGAAATAACTTTAACAAAATAGAAATGATTAATTTTACGGTGTACATACCATTATTGAAGTTATCCCTCAGCAATGTATAACTATTCTTTACAACCATTTGCATTTCGTATCCTGTGCACTGTCGTTTTCTAATTTTCTTGATTTTGCGCTTGGCGTTCATCCTTTCCGGTCATCGTTTTTTTTCTTTTCATACTTTTATATAAGCCTTGGGGTTATTCGGAGGTCAGCAGGTCATCCTCACCGTGTCGTCCTCCCTGCACCCACCCTTTCCCTCTACATCTAATCTCGTTGTAAAACAAACAGACTAACGAAAACCGCCAAATGGGAGACGGCAAGGAAATGGAAATTAGCTATTGTTAATCGGAAATTATTATTGATAGATCTATATTAAAAGAGATACAGGTTTTATGCTCTGTAAAAAAATCATTACACCCAGGTAGTGGCCAGTGGCTTAGCTAAGTTTAGAGCCGCCCGGGGTGAGTCGATAACTTTGCCGCCCCCTTCCTCCCCAAAAAACAACAAAAAAAACAACCTCCGCAAAGGCCAAAAATGTCACCCTCCATATAAAGAAAAAAGTGCCGTCTGAGAGGGTACGCCCCCTCTGCACACCCTTCCTACACTAGACTAGTGCACCCAGGCCCCAAAGCAGCAACTTAAAAATAGAGGTTAAATTGTTTTTGTCCATCTCTCTCTATCTGCCCACTCTCTCTCTCTCTCTCTCTCTCTCTCTCTCTCTCTCTCTCTCTCTCTCGCTCTCTTTCCTCTCTTTCTTATTATCTCACGCTCTCTCTCTCTCTCTCTCTCTTACTCTCTCCCTCTCTTACTCCCCCTCTCACACACCCTTCCTACACTAGACTAGTGCACCCAGGCCCCAAAGCAGCAACTTAAAAATAGAGGTTAAATTGTTTTTGTCCATCTCTCTCTCTCTGCCCTCTCTCTCTCTCTCTCTCTCTCTCTCTCTCTCTCTCTCTCTCTCTCTCTCGCTGACTTTCCTCTCTTTCTTATTATCTCACGCTCTCTCTCTCTCTCTCTCTCTCTTAGTCCCTCCCTCTCTTAGTCCCCCTCTCTCTTAGTCTCTCAGTCTCTCTCTTTCTCTCTCTCTTAGTCACACTCTCTCTCTCTCTCTTAGTCTCTCTCTGACTCTCAATCTCTCTTAGTCTCTCTCACTAGCTCTTTCTCTCTATTTCTCTCTTTCTCTTAGTCAATCTCTTTCTTTCTCACTCTGTCTGTCTCTCTCTCACTCTCACTCTCTCTTTCTCTCAAACACTTCAACTACAACTGTATCTTCATTTCACAGTTTTAGTTATTTCTGTGTTGTTTCTCTTAAATATCTATAATTCATTTGTATTGTTTTACAGTGGATAGAGGGTGTGCTCGGAAGTGGAGTCCTCCAGAAACGCGTGGAAATGGCGTTACTGTATTTTATTTTGTCTAAGTAACAAATACATAATTTATTTTGGGAGGGGAAATCTTGGTTGCGTTCCCTCAATTTTTTTCCTCAGGACTCGATGCCTAGGTCTACTTTACTTGTTTTTTGTTTGTTTTTTTATGTTTTTTTTTTTTTTTTTTTTTTTTGTTTTTTTTTTTT